CACTGGGTTGCTTTGAGTTTTCTGGGCTATATGGACATGTTCCAGAAGCATTCTCTCTTGACGTTTTGCCTACATCTATGGCAGGCATCCTCAGAGGTTGTGAGGTCTGTTGGAAACTAGGACAGTGGGGTTTATATATCTGTGGAATATCCAGGGAAGGAGAAACTGAGCTCTACTGGCCAATGGATACTCCACCACAGATATCAGAAGAGCTGCAAGACCAAGAACAAGCCACAGGAGTGAAGACAAAGATCCACCTATAGGAAAAGAGCCTGAAGGAGCCAGAGGGCACTCACCCTCTCCCCTTCCAGTCCCACATTTCCCTCCTAAAACTTACCTGATGGAAACCCCTCCTCCCCCCTCCACCTTCTGACACATCATTTTTGCACATTAGGTGAGCTCTCTGGAAAGGCCTGTGACATTGGCAGGTCCCTCAGGTAAGTTTTTTTGAGAGGGAAATGGGGCTGGGGAGGTGGGTGGATGCCCTATTGGGTCAATCTCTGGTTGACCTGAAAGGGCATGTAACCACCACCAAGGGAAATCTCAGGGTTTGTGTTGGCAGTGTAGACTAAATACCAGAAATGGGATTTAATATCCCAGTTCCTCCCCAGATTTAGCTACGTCTGGGCTCTCAGTTATTCATCAAAATGGAGACTGCAATCAAGAAATCAGAAGAAGAATAAGGGTTTGTCTGCATAAACATTATAGCCCAGACTCACTCTGAGTTGGCTTCTGACTGACCTCCAGTAAGTATCATGTGTTAAACCAGTTAAATCCTATTTAACCCTGTGGTACTAAATGTTAACAATTCTCTGCTTAAAACTCCGGTGTGTGTCCACAGCTTTGGGATAGTGTGGACAGCTTTGGAATAGTGTGGCTAGAACTGATATGGATCATTCTACTGTCCATACAGGGCACTCATCACTGTGGAGAGATGGAGATGGGTGATCAGCATTGCCACTCCCAGCTGGCTTCCAAACTCAGTGAGAGCTTCTATCTGTAGCATGGACCCTATGTTGACATCAGAGGGGCATCAAGGAAAAAGGTGGGAAGATTGCCTGCCCTTTTCCAGGTGGTCATGTGGATATCTCTGCTGATGTCAGCACAGGGCTGTCATGTCAGGCAGAAACTTATGCAGAGCTCTGTGGCTGGCTGGGAGAAGTCATGGTAACACAGATGGTGGGATGACAGTCCAGCAGGGCTTACAAAGTTTCAGCCCAGCTGAACTGTGTAGACTTTATCCCACCACCACAGTGCTGTCAAAATAAATGACAAAACAAGCCTGAACTCTCACTTGAAGACAACATGAAAAACTCTGAGATTATCATTCACTTATTCATGAAAGACCTCATCCATAGAGTTGTCATAAGTCAAAACTGACTTGTTGGTAAAGGACAGCAATTATTCAGCTAACGATTGTTGGCTTTCATACTTTCATAAAGCTTCCATACTTTCACAAAGCCTTTGGTTTGAGTAATTTAGAGACATTTTTAATGAATTGCTGTTTGTTTATTTATTTCATGTCAAAAGCATTGCATAAATACGTAAGTATAAAACTGATAAAATAAAGGGAGCACAATTTTAGACCAAAAATGGGCAACAGCAAATGCATTGTCTAGCTTTAAATGATTCTTCCACTGTGCATGAGGCAGGGCATTGTGGGCAAGAATACAGATGTGGAGTCGTTTGTTCTGCTCCACAGTCGCACAAAATGGAGGATTCTTCTAGGTAGCACCATTTTGCCAGGTTGTCTTTTGCTCTGCCAATTCCACTTCTGAGTCTCTTCAGGGACTTCCAAGGTGTCCATTCTTGGTTTGCCCCTGGAGAAAGGCCCTCGTCTCCCTAGCCATCCAGTTGGAATTGCCTGATTTATCTGCCCCCCAGGGTATTCTTGCTGTTGCTGGAAGAGCATTAAAATACTTTTCCTTGATTTAAGTCTATTGGAGAAGATGATAGCCATGAACGATGGCTTTCACAGTGTTCAGCCTTATTTCTCTTGTAATTAGCAGCAACTTCTCATCACGTGTCGGGGGTGGGGGTGGCAATTCCAGCTAGCTTATAAAGCTTGCAAGAGAGAAGGCTGAGAGGAGACATGATAGCCATGTATAAATATGAGAGTGAGGAGGGAGCAGGCTTGTTTTCTGCTGCCTTGTTGATTAGGACACAGAACAATGGTTTCAAATTACAGGAAAGGAGATTCCAGCTAAACATTAGGACGAACTTCTTAAGTGTGAGAGCTGTCCAGCAGTGGAACTCTCTGCCCCACAATGTGGTGGAGGCTCCTTCTTTGAAGGCTTTTAAACAGAGGTTGGATGGCCATCTGCCGGGGGTGCTTTGAATGCAATTTTCTTGCTTCTTGGCAGGGGGTTTGGACTGGATGGTGCACGAGGTATCTTCCAACTCTATGATTCTATGATTCTATGAGTAGGTGTATATTTAAGACATGATGTGATTATTCTACATGTTTCATTCAGTCCTATATTCATCTGCTTTGCATGGGCAAATTTATGCCAGATGGGGCAGGCATTCTCAGCAGATGAGTAGGACAAGGCCAGGGCTGATGTTCTTATTAATTTTGGGTCTGCACACTATGCACTATCAGTAAGTTTCTGCAGGATGTTATTGCATGCAGCTACTTTGTGGCTGGTGTTCACACAGTGTTTCCTAAATGTTAGTGTTAAATCTACAGTGATGCCGAGATATTTAGGATAGGAAAAGTGTTCACACTCTTGGCCTTCCAAGATAAACCAACTTACTAATGCCCTGACAGATCTCTCCAGTGTGGGCTTTCCACCTACATAAACGTGAAGTCAACAGGAACTGTAAAGTTTCAACTGTTTCAAAGTCTTTTGCTTGTGTTGTTAGACCAAGGTCATGAGTAAATATAAAGCTCTTTGTGAGTGGTGGCTGTGGCTGATCATCACTAAAAATGTTAAACAAGGTCCGTGCAAGAACGCTGCCTTGAGGTAGTCCATTCTTTTGTCTCCTCCATCTACTTTTCCTGCTCTAAAGCTCCACACAGAAGCTGTAGTTTTCTAGGAGGGTCTGGGTGGTTTTTGTAAAATTATAGTCTCGGGTGATATGGTAGACTTTATGAAGCATTTTCCTATGTTGAACAGTGTCATAGGCTGCCGTAAGGTCCACAAAAACTGTTTCCGTAATAGAACTTTTCTCATAGCCTTCCTCAAGTAAAGAATTTGAGCTACACACTTTTTCCCTGGTCTGAAGCCTGCTTGTTGTGCAATACGCTGGGGTTCAATAACAGGGCCTAGATGATTTAATAGCATCCTCTCATATATTTTATACAGATGACAGAGATTGGTTGGTAGTTCTTGACACTGGAGGTATCTTTACCAGGTTTTAAAATGGCAATAATTTTAGTTTTCCTCCATAGTCTGGGGATCTGCTTGTGTGCTCAGTCATTAAGTCATTTAGGCCAGGTGCTTTACCAGCTTAATAGTATCTCTGAGTTCTTTCAGGTTTAGGGGGATGACAACTGGGGGGTTTCATGTTCTAGCACCCTGTTGAGCCTAAAAGCATTGCTTTACAACATGAATTGCTACTGAAAAATTGTAATAAATGTTTGTGTTGAAAAAACATTTTATTTTAACTATTATTGAAATATTTATTGTGTATACATTATTCTTCATTAATTGTATATTTTGAATTGTGTTGAACACAATTTATGAATAAATAACATATAAACCAAAAGGCTCTCATCTAATCTAGATCTGGTACAGTGGAATAGTTGAAATGCACTTTTAGTCATTTTGCAAATTAATATTGTTTAGTAGATCTCTACTCAGAAGTGAGCTATTACTTCCACGAGATTTATTCGTGTAAATGGATACAGGTTTGCAGACACAAATATGTGGGATTTTTGTGGTTTTCATTTTTTTGCTTCAAGAGTCATGTTGTGGGAAGAAAACAGCATTTTGTATGTTTGAACTGGGAGATGGCTATGGACAGTGATAACTTCCTAATGCTTGTGTCATCATCCCTTCTGATCTGTAAAACCATTTTCTGTATTTTTAAAGTGTTTCTGATTTTATTATGATTTTAATTGGCAAAGTATGAATATACTAATGGAAAAATATCTGTATGGTAGCCCATCTGGAGCATAGTTGGGAAAATATTGAAACTAATTGTTACATTACTGTTCACATTGCTAACATGTAGACTGATTATGAAAATAATAAAAACACATATGATTAACTCCAGTGTTGAGTGCAAATGGTAGGGCATGTCAGTCAACCTATTTTTAATCCAGGAATAATAATTTTACACTGGTGTCTGTCTACACAGAAAACTCCTTCTTCTCCTTTTCTGCCCAGGTCTTCTTCATATTCTGACAAATGGAAAAAACAAGGTGCTTGTGGAAATGACAGAACTGCCCTCCAACACAGGCTTAAACTTAGATATTAAGGGATCAGCATTCTTTGAACCGACCTCATACATCCAAAATAAATTGGGAAAGAAAATTCTTCAAATCATATTGTCTCATTGTTCTAGGAGAGAAGGAAAACATCCTAATTGTCTCCATAATATGAGGGCAACTGGCTTCCTTAAGTCACATTTTGTGTTATCTTGCACAACACCTGTTTGTTCTTTTCAACCGTGTCAGCCGACCAATGTGAGCAAATGGGCCAGGAAATATCGGCACAGGGAATTAGACTACCGAGGGCACCTTCCCACTGACTTCAAGCTCTCTGACTTTATGCGCTTGTTTCTGCCAATGTGACATCTGGTTTCTTTATTCACTCCACACAAATGCACACATACACCATGCACCAATTTCCAGTACATGTATTTAAAACCCATTAACACATTAAGTATAATTAACCAAAAAGAAAATATTGTTTATGCATTCCAGTCTTTGGATTTAATGAAGCACTAATGCTCAATATAGTAAGTGGAAAGTTACGAGGGAACCAACAGATGTGTGACTAATGTTGGCTCTAAGAAGCCACTGTTTACTCACATTATACATGCTCTTTTACCTGAATGGTTGCAGTGAGACGGTTCCACCAGTCGACCAGTCTTATCATAGCAGGCAAGGGCTTGGAAGTGTACACCTTCTCCACACTCTTTGACATGTCCGTGAAATCTTCGTTCTAATTCTAACTCCATTTTTCCTACAGCAATTATGCATTCGGACCAATTTCCATGGGACCGTGTGGTAAATACTGTGCAGGGGCATGGTTCAGTTTCAAGTTGAGGATATATTTCTGTATTCTGGCACTTGTCTCGCTTTCTGCTTCTTCCTGTTCCGACCAGGAAAATATGTTAGCATACCATCTGCTGCGTTTGATAACAATATGTCATATATTTATACTCAAAGGGTTTTAATACAGCTAGAACCAACACAATCTGAAATGTAAATACAGAAGAGCTGGTTCAAAGACATCTGTTAGTCTATGCCAATGTCATGGAGGGCCAAGACATTGGCATAGTCTCCAGGGCAACCAGGGAGCCTGGAAGAACTTGAAGAAAAAAGTATTTTCAATAAATACAAAACAAGAGAAAGAGAGCAACTGACTAATTCTGTTATGGAGAGAGGGAGGGTGTGTGGTCTGTTCTTTCATAATTACTTGAAGAAAATTTTTTTATTATCTTTTCTTCACTCTTAGTCTTGCAATCAACGGTTGCTTAGGGAAACCTACAAATGAAGAAAGAGTAAGCTACAGCTCTTTCATTGCAACTATTTTTCAAATTAGTGGAATATGAACACCACACAAAGATTTTGAGCTCATCCTTGGTAATTATCGCATTTCAATGGAACAGCTTCACTTTTTAAAAACATCTTTCCAAAAGGGATTAACTGTATAAGTCCTTTGCACACGACACCTATATACCTACTCCTCAATCTTATGGCAGGCTTATTTGTTTGCTATGTTGTGGATTCATTTGGAGTTATGGCAACCCACACAAAACTGTTTACTGTTTAACTGGTTATTACAACATGTTGCCACTGAGATATTAACATAACATGGACTTCTGTCGATGGGTCAGAGTGATGCATACCAAAGTTTCATATCAGGGGGATAATTCCTCCAGGAAACAAGATATGCCCTTGGTCAGTTGGGATGTATATTGGTCAGGAACTTATAGCTAGGGAACTTATAGGTGAAGGTTAGAATAGCACAAAACTAAACTACCAAACATCTATGGCCAGCCACAGTATCAATTCAATCTAAATAAATTTATCTGGAGTCTCAAAACCACAAGCAAAATAGGTTCACTTTCACCACCTCACCCAAGACACCAGCCCAAAGACCATTCTCTGTTATGATACTTCCAGTATTCTCTTTCATAACTGCCAACTCCATCGATACCATTCCCAACAAAATGAAACACTGTTAGCTCCTGAATTCTGTAAATGCCTTCAGTGTCTTGTCCTTCTCTCATTACATCACAAATTTCTCACTCACTGAATCATGTCATCATACCCAACCATAGCCAGAATTCCCTTGATGGCATAACTACCCCAATGGTATTTAGGACACTTTTCATATGGCACAGTTATAACCCTATGCTTCCACTTTGCTGCCATGGCAATGTTCTATGCAATCTTCAGGTGTGCCATTTAGGGAGGAAATAGGTTTTGCCAGGCTGTGCAAGGCTACCATACTAAGCCAAGCATAGCTCTGCTTCTCCCAACACAAATATTCACTGATTGATTTTTTTAAAAATGCACTGGGTGAACTGGTCTATAGACACCCAATTTGTAAATACCAACATTCTGGATCTTCACATAAGAATGCTGTTAGAGTTTTAAAATCTTGACCTTTTTATATTTTGGGAGAGAGTACAAGGGAAGGCATCCTCAAGTATACCTAAGAAAAAATATGGCTGCCATCCTAGAGAACTGTTAGTAGACAGAGCTGGTAATACTGGGCTATAAAGCAATATCCTGTATTTCTATGAATTATTTCACTGGATATGCATTTTTTTTGCTGCCCTTCCTGTTTTTCCAAAAACTCTGCCCACCTGTTACAAAGTGGATTTGTCCTGAGAGGACATTTTCCCCTTTATTCCATTGTAAGTCAGCATCAATGGCAAAATTTCACTTAGTATGAACAACTAATACAATAGGTTTGCTCACACAGCACCTGTCAAGTATTAGTGAAATTGGAAATCTGTACTTAAGCCAATTATCAGCTTCCCCCCATAGATACTGAGGCTGATAAGAATATAGTCTAGCTACACTGCATAAAAAGAATATTCAATCTGTTTTCCAAATGCTTTCTCAGTTGGCACAGCAACATTCGCAGAGTCAGTATTTTTAAAGATTATTAAAAATTACTTTTTCTCAAGACCCAGTAGTATTATAGAATTTTTCTATTTAATTTCAATGGAAAGAGATTTTTAGTATTAGCAGAAGTGTAAATTGGAGAGAAAAGAAACCCCCTAAATTGTGTAGTAAAATCTATTTCCTCTTCACACAAAACATTTACTTTCAATGCCAGCAATGTACATATTTGACCTTGTTCATAATTAAAGAAGATAAATATGACTTTCTTAAATACAGGGTGAGGCAGCATAACTTCCTTTTTTTAAATGCGCGCCATTCAGTCGGTTGAAGACATAGCAGAGCGCTAATGGTCTCATTTGAGAGGCAGGAGTATAAAGTTTTGTCCTGACACAGTTCAGTTGCCATCATGCATTCGAACAGTGAGGAGCATTTTTTTGCCATTGAGGCCTACTTTTCAAGCAGATTTGGAGTGGCTGGCCCACTCTCCAGATTTGGCCCCTTGTGATTTTTTTCTATGGTTTTTTTTAAAATCCAGTTTTTATGTGAAGCGTCCAAGGACCCTACAAGATTTGAAGACCAACATCCAGGAAGAAATTGCCAACATAACGCCTGCTATGCTGGCAAGAGTCATGACAAATGCAATTAATGCAATCTACTCAGACCAATCAGCAAAAATAATAGTCAACAACCAAAGAACAGAAACAATACCCATCACTAAAGGCACCAGACAAGGCTGTCCCCTATCCCTCTTATTGTTTATTCTGGCACTAGAAACACTCCTAAAATCAATAAGGGAGGATAGTGAGATTAATGGTTTAAGACTGGCGAAACAGAACTATAAAATAAAAGCATTCGCGGACGACATCATCTGCATAGTAGAAGACCCCATCAAAAATATAAGGAAATGGTTACTTAAAATTGAAGAATACAGGGCAGTAGCAGGCCTCAAACTGAATAAAAATAAAACAATGATCCTGACGAAAAACATGTCAAAGGAAAAACAAGAAGAACTGAACAAGATAACGGGCTTCAAGATCTGCACCAAAATCAAATATTTAGGGATCTGGCTTTCGGCAAAAAACACACAACTATTCAAAAACAATTACGAGGCCACTTCTAGCCAATTGGAGATCTAGCCAATTGGAGATTCATGAAGCTGTCGATTCTAGGAAGAATAGCCCTAATTAAAATGAGTGTTCTTTCCAAACTGCTCTATTTATTCCAGAACATTCCGATAATAAGGAACAGTAAAGTATTCGATCAATGGAACAAGGAGCTGGGTAAATTTATCTGGAATGGGAAGAGACCAAGAATCAAGCAAAAAATTATGGTGGATAGAAGGGTCAGAGGTGGATTTGGTCTACCAAGCCTGAGATCTTACTTTGAGGCATGTGCGTTGGAGTGGCTAAGGGAATGGGCGCTACTTAAAAATGAACAAACTTTAACACTAGAAGGATTTAACCTCAGAGTCGGTTGGCACGCGTATATGTGGCATGGAAGAATAGGAATCGAGAAGAACTTCGGAAACCATTTCTTAAGATCAGCGTTAATCAAGGTCTGGAACAAATATAAAAGATATTTCTATTCAAGAACCGCCCTCTGGATTTCCCCACTCGAGGCCAGCCAAAGAAGACTTCTGGGCTGGCACCGATGGCCGACATACAAGGAACTCATAAGACTGGACACCTCCAATAAGACCTGGCATCTGAAACCCCTGACAGAACTGACAGACACAATAGGAAATATTACATGGTTACAATATTTTCAGATAAAGGATATCTTCAAGATAGATCAAAAATTAGGATTTGAGAACAAAGAGACTCCGTGGGACAAAATTCTAAAACTGGAGAAAAAAACGATTTCCAAAATCTACAGTCAACTTTTAGACTGGGAAACCGAAACAGAAGAGATAAAAAACTGCATGACCCTGTGGGCCAAAAATATAGGGAGAGAAATAAAGCTCCAGGAATGGCAAGCTGTTTGGGAAAAAAAGCTAAAATACACATATTCAACATCTTTAAAGGAGAACTGGCTAAAAACATTCCATAGGTGGTATATAACGCCACAGAAATTGAGCCTAATGTATAAAAACCTTAGGAACACTTGCTGGAAGTGCAAAACATCAGTAGGGAGTTATTTCCACCTTTGGTGGTCATGCCCGGTCGCAACGGAATACTGGAAAGAAATAAAGGAAGAGATCCAGAAAATCCTCAAAAAAAAACATCCCCTTCAAACCGGAGATTTTCCTACTAGGACTCACGGAAAGACACTTGAACCTGGAAAGAAACGAGGATGTGTTACTAACCTACATGACAACAGCGGCAAGAATCGTATACGCCAAACTCTGGAAACAAGAACAGAAACCTTCAATCGAACAATGGCTAGACAAACTCAATGACATAAAAGATATGGACTCATTAACATATCATCTGAAAAAAAGCTCGGGAAAACCGATAAAGAAAACGGATTGGACCCCTGTAGTAGACTATGAGAAAAGGAATGATGAAGAAAGGAAATAAGAAAACTGCTCTAGGTCTAAAAGGTGGAGACTAGACGGATATGGAAAACAAACTCAGGGTCAGAAATAAAATAAGGAAACCCCAACCTCAAACAAAGAGGCAACCAGGGGGTACCCGAAAACAACAATATAGGAAGACCGAAGGGAAACATAGTCGGAAGTCAAACTTTTAATCAGTTGTCTTTATGTATTGTTAGCATGTTAGTAGTGTATGTTTGTACGACTAGTATCGTTGTGTATGTATTGCATGTATGGTCGGTCCTATGTATGTACCTACCCGATGGTAGTGAACTTGTTCGTCTATTTGTTTCAATGTTTTTTTTATTACTGGAAAACCGAATAAAGATATTTACAAAAACAAATGCCAGAAATCGGTTTAGTCAGTGTATGGAGAATGGAGAATGGGGGATGTCACCTACCTAATTTAATCTTCAAAACTATGTAAAACAAAACTTTATGCGCCTACATTATTAAAAAAATTCTGATTCATA